AAAAAAAAAAACTTTGTAAGAATATCCAGAAGAGACTATTACTTTGATTTTATATCCTTCTGGATCATTTCAAAAAAATTTTTTTTAGCAACAAGCTTGTATTGTCAGGTCTTATGTGCAAAGTTACAGGATAGAAATAAATCAATTAAGTAAAATATTTAACTTTTTCCATAAACTTATGTGACAACTATAAGCTATGTTTTAGTTCAAAATGTACAGTGACCACAGAATAGATATAAACATTTATACATGTAACATATTCACAGTCATGGAAAGAAGGGATATAAAAGTTTTCTTTCCATTAAGGCTTAATTAGATTTGTTTCCTATTCAAACAAAGAGAAATAAGGAAAAAAGTACCACAGAAACCAAAAACCACATTTTCTTATGTAATACCTAGATATTCATGTGGGGAAAAAAATCAGTCATGATGCATTTGGACTTCACACCATAATCTGCAGAGTCTTGATATACTGGTTAGATAGGACTGACAATGAATAGAAACTGCTACTTGCAACATGGATGAATCTAGTAATATACTGACTGAAATAAGCCAGATGCAAAAGACTACATACAGTGTGATTCTGCATGTAAAGTTCAAAAACATGCTCTGTAGGTTCAATTGTCTCCCAAAAAAGATAAGGTGAGGTCCTAACTCCCAAGATCTTTATAAACATAAAAATTAAAATGAGATCATTAGAACAGGCCCAATCCGATAGGACTGGTATCTTTATAAAAAGGGAAAATTCAGCCACACAGAAACTGACACACACCTCCGCGTGTGGGGTGGAGACTATATAAAGAAACGCAGGGAAAAGATGGCCACGTGACCATGGAGGTAAAGGCTGAAGTGATCCATCTACCAGCCAGGGAACACTGAGGATTGCCAGCAAACACCAGAAGCCAGGAAAGAGCAAGGAAAGGTCCTTCCTTAGAGCTGCCAGAGGGAGATGGCCCAGCCGACACCATGATTTCTGACTTCTGGCCTCTGTGAGTGTGACAATAAATTTCTGTTATTTTGAAGCCACCCAGTTTGTAGTACTTTGTTACAGCAGCCCTAAGAAAAGAATACGTGTGCAAAGGTAATCTACGGTGACAGAAGTAAATGCACTCTTATCTTTGCAGGAGGGTAGGGTGATCTGCAGCACTAAAAACATTTTAAAGGTCTCTGTCCCAACAAAGAGCCAGCTCTAGGAGAATACCTGATTTTCCTACGTATGCTTTCATATGTCTCTCACCTTGCTTCACGTTCTATAGATTTTTTTAAAGACTTGGTCTCACTCTATCGCCCAGGACACAGTGCGATGGCATGATCACGGCTCACTGCAGCCTTAACCTCCCAGGCTCAAGCGATTCTCTCACCTCAGCCTCCTAAGTAGCTGGGACTAGAGGTGTACACACCATCACTGGCTAATTTTTGTATTTTTTGTAGAGATGTGTTTCACCATGTTGCTAAGGCTGGTCTCTAACTTCTGAGAGGAATCCCTCTGCCTTGACCCCCAAAAGCTGGGATTACAGGTGTGGGCCACTGTGCCCAGACTTCCACTCAAAAAAAAAAAAAAAAAAATTGTAGAGGCAGGGTCTTGCTCTGTTGCCAAGGTTGGAGTCTGGTGCCTTAATCACAGCTCACTGTGACCTCCCAGACTGTTTTTTGTTTTTTCGGGGTGGGAGGGAACAGAGTCTCGCTCAGCTGCCCAGGCTGGAGTGCAGTGGCATAATCTTGGCTCACCACAACCTCTGCCTCCCAGGTTTAAGCGATTTTCCTGCCTCAGCCTCCCGAGTAGCTGGGATTAGAGGCGTGCGCCACCATACTCAGCTAATTTTTGTATTTTTAGTCAAGACAGGGTTTCACTATGTTGACCAGGCTGGGGAACTCCTGACCTTGTGATCTGCCCATCTTGGCCTCCCAAAGTGCTGGGATTACAGGTACGAGCCACCGCGCCTGGCCAATCTCCCAGGCTTAAGTGATCCTCCCAACTCAGTCTCCTGAGTGGCTTGGACTATAGGTGCACACTATCACACCTAGCTAATTTTAAAAATTTTTGTAGAGATGGGGTCTTACCATGTTACCCAAGCTGGTCTCGAATGCTTGGGCTCAAGCAATCCTCCTGTCATGGCCTCCCAAAGTGCTGGGACTGTAAGTGTGAACCACCACACCCGGCTCATAGTCTACACATGTTAACAACAATCCCTTTGCCTCAGTTTTCAGAGGCCTGTTCAGTTCCCTGTTTGAACATGGTGATTTTTTTCTTCTGACTTGGCCGAGTACAGTTATTCCTGGTTCTGTTTATGCTTAAGTTAAAACAACAAATTATAAACACATAATCTTTCATGTAAAAATGAAAAATTTAGCTCCAAAATCATTGATGCAGTTCTAAATAGTGATGTTAGCTCAGAGTTTTGGGGAGGATAAGGGTCTGTTGACTGTGGTATGAAAACATGTTAAAAAAATTATTCTGCCACTTGTTAAAACGGTAAAGAAGACTTCATTCAAGACCATTGCAATTGGAGGGGAAAAAGAAGGGGCTCAACTCTGAAACAGCAAGAACAAGTGAAGATTTATAGCCAAGAACAGCATGGGCAGGTCAAAGGATGGGAAATTGCTGAAAGGACACATCAAGGGCAGGGAAATTCTTGCTAAGCTGGCCTAACAGGACTCTTGCTAAAGGCAGTGCAAGGATTTAGACATCAAAAAGGTGGAGGATGAAGATCTTGATCAGATATCTAGGGTAATTAGATATCTAGGGTTGGGAGATAATTCAGCAGAATTCCTTGCTAAGGCTGGGCTGGGCAGGCCAAAGCTGGGGGTGGAGCAAGGTAGAAGCCTAGTCCAAAGAGACATTAGCAGAGCATGACTGAAGTGTGGTTTAGGGAGAGGGTCTTTGACACCTCACTGTCATGAATTGCATTCTGATAAGATGAAAGCTAAGAAAGTTTGCAAGACATTTGACCTGGTGATACGGATCACCTGAGGTCAGGAGTTCAAGACCAGCCTGGCCATCAGGGTGAAACCTTATCTGTTATTTAAAAAAAAAGAAAAAAGAAAAAAGAAAACAGATCCTAACTTAGGCAGGCCCGAAGCTTTTTTTGGTATCAGATTTTTATCCATTCTGTATTTTACCATCATAAAAGCTCACTGGCTAGCTTGTAAGGAGTTCCTGGAGATGTGCAGGCTTCATCAATTAAATGTAATCTATGGAATGTAATCATCAATACTACTGAAGTTTGTTGTCTACATTCAAATAGAAGAAAATGATAAATTTCAGTCTGAGTTTAGTGAAAACAAAGATGTAATTATTTTTCCCATCCAAGTTTATAGGCCTCCTGAAATCTATCTACAGACTCCCAGAACCTCAGCTCAAAGACTCGTCTACTTTTACTTGTTATTTAGGTTTCAGTTCAAATGTTATCTCCTCAGAGAAACCTTCCCTGAGCAACTAATATAAAATAATTCCCCTGCCACTCTACTCTCCCATCAGAGTTAATTTATAGATCAGTATTTAGTGTACAGTATGTACTCAGAAAACTAAGTGTTGACAGAATGACACTGATTATTATTTGAAACTGGCTACTTACTTTGTATACATTTTATATTTGTTACATTTCCTTTTGCATCTGAATATAATGATCCTTTTCTGTCTTGTTATCCTATGTCCCTAATATCTGGCACATTTTAGGCCCGGATGACCACGGAGTGAATAATAAAACAGGTACACAAGTGGTTAATCACACACAAAAAATATTATTACATAGATGACAGCTTCTTATGTTGTGTTATTTGAGAAAGAGGCACAAAAAGGGAACAATGCACTTGGAAATAAAATACACCTAAATCTCTGAAATAACTTGACTTGTTATCATTCTTCTTCAATATATCGTCAACTTACTTGGTTTCTGCCTTCTGTTCCTAGGGCAATACTTGGAGCATACTGCGGAATGAGAATAGTAGTGCTCCCCTAATTTGACTATAAAGCCAAATTACAGTATTTCATTAAATTC